CAACATACAAAATGGGAGAGAAAGGCACCTCTCAGGAGAAAGAAGGAAAGAGAAAGAGAAATGAGATAACACTGAATGGAGAATATGTTCCAACCCAATCAGATTGAAGGGTCAGGAGATGAATGAGAATAAGAGTCACAGTGGGAAGGATGACCTGAAAAAAACCTTAAAAAAAGTCAGAAGGTAGAGAAGATAAGAGGAACATAAAGAGAGGAGGGAAAAAATACACAAGAGTGGACAGACACCAAACTATGACTAAGAGCAAGACAGGAAACATTTCTGACATGTTGCCTCACTAGAGGGATGGACCGCCAGAAGAGTAACCTTTAGCCTTTGAAATGTTTTGAAGAGAGTTCTATTTGTTCTACATATTTTTCATGTATTGTTTGTTATGAAATGGTGTTTGTGGTTTATAAATAAATAAATAAATAGACATTCCATTATAGTGCATCACAACATTTATAGGTCTGGATATAAATGGAAGCACCCAGCAGTTTAAAAGATATTGAAGTATTTTGACTTCAAGCCAGTTTTACAATACCACATTTGCCATTAAGAAATTAGTTTGATAAAATACAACCAAAACTAAACAGATAAATGGATAAATGCAGTAAATCTGCATCACTGGTGAATGAGCTGGAGAGGTTTATTAGAATATTGTGTAATTAATTTGTCAAGGCAGTGATGAAGGAGAGACACAGAGGAGTAGACACAGTGGTGTCAGCTGAATTTTAATCCCATTGATTGAAGACATTGATAGGCAGTCAAAAGCAGAGTTACTGCAACCCTGTCATCATTAATCAGAACTTCTATCGCCCCTGCCGTTTCCCTTTCTTGAACATATTTTGTTCTATTTTCCTCTCTCCTTTCTCTGCTCTTGTACACATAATGTCAAAAGGTTAAAGACAATGATTAAAAAACTTTTTTTTTTACACGTGATAAAAATGAAATCCCTAGAAATGTTTTTTTTTATTTAGAATTGTCCTCTAGCATACTTTATAAAACTAATCTAACGCATATAGAAGACTGTCAGAACAGTAATTACAAAATAATTTAAAAACTATAGAAACTAAGTGATTTGACTTGAAGGGACTTGTTAAAAGGCTAAGCCTTGCGACTTGACATGAACTTAGCATCAGAATTGTAAAAATATTTGCTGCTAATTAAACTTTTCATTAAACAATAATCTAATTCCACATTGTTTGTTCTTTCTCCTCTCCTTTCCTTTGTTTTTGCTTTCCCTCATTTTATCTGTCCAACAGGGCATCTACAGTTGCATCCATGGTGTTCAGATTGAAGAGAACAAATCAGCCCTTAACTCACCATCGGCCACTATGAACATGAGCATGAACAACACCCACTCCAACATTCTCCGTTTGTTGCGTACTGCCAAAAACATGACCTCTGTGCCTGGGGTCAATGGTTCACCTCGCAGCGCATTGGACTACAGCCATCGTGAGTCAGCCGTTTATGACATCAGTGAACACCGGCGCAGCCTAGCAGGCCACACAGACTGCAAGCCTCCACCATACCTGCCAGAGGATAACATGTTCAGCGACTATGTAAGCGAAGTGGAGAGGACTTTTGGGAATTTGCACCTGAAGGACAGCAACCTGTACCAGGATCATTACCTACACCACCATGGGGGCACGGGATCCGAACTGGCTCTCGGTATGTCGGGTCCCCTGCCTAACCGACCTCATAGCTTAGGAAGTGCCAGTTCATTGGAGGGTGGGTACGATTGTGACAGCTTAGGGGGAGGGGTAGCGCCCATCTTCACCACCCAGCCACGGCAGTCGCTGACACATCGGAACAGGGAAAAGTTTGACCTAATCGCGGGTCACCCAACCCAGTCAAGCTTCAAGTCTGGCCTGCCTGATCTATATGGAAAGTTCTCCTTCAAGGGTGGGGCATCCAGTTCAGGGTTTATTGCAGGACATGACAGGTACTGCGGGGGAGGTGGGGTGGGATCAGGAGGGGACGATGGAAACATTCGATCCGACGTGTCCGATATTTCCACTCACACCGTGACCTATGGGAACCTTGAAGGGCATGGCAAACGGCGCAAACAGTACAGGGACAGCTTAAAAAAGAGACCCGCTTCTGCCAAGTCTCGCCGTGAGCAGGATGAGATTGAGCTTGGCTTCAGGAGACGTCCCCACCACACAATCCATCACCATCATCACCACCATCATCCAGCAACACAAGCACACCGCTCAGCCACCCCACCCGTGGAGCGCAAGAGCCTGAGAGGTGGTAACAGCACCTCCTATCTATTCAGAGACAAAGAGAATTTGAGGGACTTCTATGTGGACCAGTTTCAAGCCAAGGAAGGGGCATCCCCATGGGAGCATTTGGATTTAAGTGATGCTCCAGTAATGGGTGGAGGAGTGGGACTGGGTGGAGGCGGTTGCGGTGGAGTAGTTAGTAGCGGTGGTGCTGGGGGAGCGTGCACTAGTTTGGTTCCCACATGAGGGACAGGGATAGAGGCATGATGGGAGGAGGTGTGGGCGGTACCCGAGGGGTCGGGACTTACTCCTTGTCTAAATCTCTCTACCCAGATAAGGTGAACCAGAACCCATTCATCCCAACCTTCGGCGACGACCAGTGTCTATTACACGGCGCCAAATCATACTACATCAAAAAGCAGCAGGCACAGCAGCAGCAGCAACAGATGCCACAACAGCAGCAGCAGCAACAGCTCCTCAACAACAGTCGGGCTGACTTCCGGGGCTCCATGGGGGTGACTTCCTATTTGCCTGCCTCCGCAACTTCTGGGGTGTTGTCCAATGTGGCCCCTCGGTTCCCCAAGGAGCTATGTCTGGGCGGGCCTCTTGGCAACCACCACGGTGGAGGACCTAGCAACAACAAGCTGCTGTCAGCAAGGGATGGGTTAGGAATGGGTCAAGGACAGAGACCGTTTAATGGCTCGAGCAACGGACATGTTTACGAGAAGCTTTCCAGTATAGAGTCTGATGTCTGAAGAGGGGAGTCAGAAACAGATAGAAATGCAGAAAAGAAGCCAACGGACATGCGGAATGATGATTGAGAGAAAACTGATGAAAAGGCAGTGTGTAATTAGTTCCTTCATGCTCACAAAAAGAAGAGGAAACCGTATGTGAGGAACTGACTCATGCTTTCATTAAGTTATGCGGATCATGCGCTGCCAAGCATACGTATGTAAATAGAGCGAGGGGACCTGCCCACTGTCGAAAAGTTGAGATTAGGGGGAAAAACCTGTTTATTCCTCTCTTTTATTCTCATGTTTTTTGTATATCCCACTATTTTCCTGCTCCGAACATCAAAATTGCAGCCAATCCAGATGGAGACAACCATGTACAATCCTTTGTACAATTGTGGATGGAAATCAGTTACTCTTTTTAAGCAACAGGGTAAAACTTACAATAATTGTATTGATAATGTTCTTTATAATAATATTATTATATATTATTACAATGTTTATGATGTTTAATTTGGGCTTGGTTTCTGGATGTTTTATGCTGTTATATATTTGTACTGTAGTTTCAGTTCTTAGTTAACAAACCACTTTGCGGGAGGCTTTTTTGATTTGTCAACCGAGCTTATTTGATTGTTAATTGAGTTGTAGACAAACTTGGATTCCATAAAGTTTCTTTATTATTGGTTATTCAAGTTTATTTTACCAGTATGGAGTGCTGTAAAATGTGTGTGCAAGGCATGATTTGCAAAGTACTTCAGCTGTACTTGAGATATCATTGTGAAGGAAATGTATTCTTATCACTTTATTTTATAGTGTTCCGTTTGTTAGAACAACATTGGTTTAATACACAGCACGTTATGTGCCTTACCAAGACTTACAGAACACCTGATTTACAGGTCATATTGCCATGGTAACTTTCTGGTCACTGCACACAGACTTATCATTGGCTGATTCATATTATTCTAGAAACTTCCTTTTAACATTATAAGCACTGATATGGAATAATGAGGAGACGTAAAGTAGGCTGAATGTGTTCATAGTATTAATCTTTAGAACTAGGTTCTTAAGAGAACCAGATAAATTATCATTCTAAGAGCTTCTAGGAACGTAGGATATTTGAGGTTTGCACAACATTGTACAGTGCACAGTATCCTTCCTGAGAGTTGAGACATGGGGTGTTACATTTGTATGGTGTTATCTATAATATTGAAACAAATATCGATTAATTATTTTTTTTCTCCACCTTCCCCCATTTTTGAGGAAGTCTTTGATCAAGCAGCAAAATAACAACGGAGTCATGGATTTGTTTCTTCTTAGAATGCATTTAGTACTGGATATGCTTATCTTGACTTTCCTTAGGGAGACGCCAGTGCACAGTATGTAGGGTTTTGCAAGATTCTCAGCAAATACTTGCATTTTGTCATGTAAATATTCTTTTTTTTCCACTCTGTACAGTAAATAGACAGAAAGGATGTAACTCTATGGATTTATGTTTTACCATATTGGTTAGATGATATTTTAAGAATTACAGTTAAGGTTAACAATCCAACTGTGCTGCAACATTTATCAGATAAAAATCAATGGTATGGATAAACACTAAGAATTTTTTCTATATCCTCCCTATTGTTTTTCAGACTAATACGAACCTTTACTGCACCTTTACAGCAGAAGTGAACCTTTCTAGATACATCAGTTTATGCCAGTCAGAGTGCTTTTTTTAACAACATAAAACATGATAATGATGGGAATGACTCCAATTATTTCCCATATCCATTTGATGGTAATTTGCAGTTTTAATACCCACTTATATGAAGTAGAGGTATTTCTCAGGAATTTTAGATGGGCACAGTCAAAAAGAAACATATCATTTAACTAAATTGCCTAATTACCTAAATCAATAAACCACTGAACTCATTTAATTGGATAAACGAGAGCCATGTGAGGTTTGTTGTAAGTATTTAGGACTCTCTCTCTCTCTCTTTTTACATTTTATTTTTTAATTGTTTTTTAAACCAGGACTGAATTCATGGCAGGGCAGTCTGAAGACATGGTCTTTTGTTGAATTGTTGGCCCTCAGCTTAGATAAAATCCTTTACTTGAAGTTTGTTGTGTTTACTGCAGATTTTGTTCATACATTTTCTTTGTGAATGAACTGTTAGCCAAACAGATCTCCACTTTAAGCACAATATTTATAATATTTGGTTTATAATTGATGTATAGCTATCGATTTGTGAATTTTTATCTCAACTTTTTGCCACATTCTTTTTTGTCTCAGTTGAGAGTTTGTGTTTAAGACGAGCATGCATGTCTTTTACTTATTTATTGCCATTTCTTTAGTGTTTCATTTATGTCTATTTAGATATCGTGCCTGCTCTTTGTGGGTGCAATATGTTGATAAATTGCACATCATACAGGTTCGGGTTGTACAACAGATGTGGTGAGTTTAAATGAACTGATAAGATCTTTGAAAATGGATATGTAAAGAATAATAACTCGTTAGGGAAATTAACAGGCAATCCCAAATTTGGGTGATTTCATTAGGAATACTGCCACTAGTTAAGCATAATTTTTAAAGACCATTCTTTTGTCCATGTAAGGCTAATTGTGTCTTTGTCACAAGATTTTTTCACTTGCTCTCACAAAACCTTTCTTTGCATGGAACCATGTTTTTAAAGTACCCTTAAGATTTTTTATGCTTGGTCAACTTTTCTCATTTTAGTTTTATTTAGTAAATCCTTTAAAGATATCTCATAAGATATCTCATAACAGTGTGGCATTTCTTTAAGAGCTATAGATGTGATAACAGACTTAGACCACTGCATTTCCTGTCAGTCTCTGTGTTTCTATCGGAGAGTCGAGCTTATAGTTTTTAGTAATAGTACTATGTATAAGTAGTATTGTTTGATTGGGTGTGTGAGTGTCAGGGACAGATGACTTTGCTCTTCCTGAAAGGCTTTCCAGTTTTATCTTTCATTTTAACTCACACTTTAAAGATGTGGCCTTGTTGTAAAAGCACACTAATATCATTTGATAAACACAGGTTTAATGTGAGACGACATTTTCAGCAGAAGATACAAGGGAGGTGGGCGGAAAGGACAGGAAGGATAGTAGCCAGTGTTTTGTGTTATTTGTTTTATTTCCCTTCTCATTCATTATCATTTGAACTAATCTTTTTCTTGATGACTGGTAGGATAAGACTGCAGTAGTTTGTCATTTTAATGCCCTCCCCAGTAAGGTGTCACATATGATTGTAGGTGTATCTGAAATCATATGCTTGATTACCTCTGTATGCGAGTGGACGTGTGCGCGCAGGTGTCTGTGTGTGCACATCTGTCTGTGCACGTGTGTATGTGTGTGTGTATGAAAAGGAACAGAGAGCACAGTGCAATGGTTATCTATTATGTCTGCTGTAAATAATTATGTCCCCTTTCCATAGCCTTTTAATATATGGAGAAAAATATTTAAAATAATGAAATTTGAGATACATTTTTGTCTGGAAGATTTTTTATAGCCACATAGGGAAAAGTTATTAGACCACTGGACCAGGAGCACAGTGCCATTCTAATAGCATCCGAGAATCAGAATTTAAGACAAAAATTACACCTTTGTTGTCTTCAATTCTGTCTTTCTTGTATTTTAATCACTTATTTTAAATGTTACTTATGGATCAGAACTGTACAGATTCTGTAAATATGACAAAAATGGTTTCTTTTTTTTTTGTTTTTGTATAGAGAGATTACGTGTTAAGACTACAATAATTTAATGAGACATTTCACAATACTTACGCTATTGAGAATACAGACACAGTGTGAAAATAAGTGCTAAGATATATTCTTCTGTCTCTTTGTACAAAACAGTGTTGACTAAAAACAAAATAAAAGGGAGATATCTCAAGCCTCATAGTCCTTCTGTGTTTTTCCATACATCTCCAGCGAGAATCTGAGAGGAAATGGTGACACTCCTTTGCCATATATGTATGAATCTCACTTGGTTTTCAGTTGTTATTATGTGAAATGTGTTTCTTGTGTATGTGCCCCATTGCGCAGATTTGATATTACACTGACTGTTCAACACAAGCTTAGGTTTGCTTCGTGACATAACGTACGTACATGAAACGTGAATGAGAGCTTATTAGCCGGTGGTGTTGCCCTGGATACGTCTGGTTCACTGCATCATGAACAAACTGTAAGCAAATACTGATGTCACTGAATTTATCTCTCTTTTCTGTATCTATCGATTCATGTCAAACATATTCTGATTATTGATTCCCCTATGAAAGTGCTGTTTTTAATTTTTAAAGTAATAGCTGTTTATTTTAAAACCATTTGCAATTCAATATTTCACAAACCTACTCTTTCTATTCCTGTCTCACTCCCCCTCTCTTTTTCATTCCCCTTTCTCTCTCTCTCTTTCTCTCACATGCTTCCTTCAAGCAGCCAATCACAGAATACATTGCAACACATGTAACTATTTCTTGACAATTAACTGTTACCTAGCAACTGGACCTTTAGAGAAAGAAAGAAACAGAGAGAGAGAGAGACACGGAGGGAGGAAGATGGAGAGAGAAAAAGAAAGATTTGTGTAGTATACTGTGTCTTGGTTTGGTGCTACAACATACACAGAAGCAGCAAGTACAGATGATATGCAACACCCCCACACGTGTCCATGGAGACAGGGAGAAAAAAGACGAAGAGCTAAACGCAAGCAGGGAAGTAGAAGGAAGGATTGACAGGTACACAGATAGAGGGAGTCGTGAATGGAAAGATTAAGGAACGTAATTAGTAAGAGACGACGAGTCGCAGCCTTCACTTTCATTTAAAGAAAGACAGATAACAGACGCTCGTTTACGTGAGTTGCTAGACGTATTTATGTTCATACGTACCAATATTCTGTCACATGTCCTCACCAGAAAATATGCCCACTTTAAGTATTAAGCGATATTGGTAAACGTCTCAAGTCCTGTGTTGACCAAAAACAGTGGCCCACAGATTTCAAGCACTCACTCTTGTCAAAGTAGCGAGCGGTGAACTAACCGACACAACACTGCCACCATGTGGCCGGAGTTACATAACACCCCAGATTCATCTTGATCACATCTGAAGGAATAGTTGTACGATGGTTTGTATTTTCAGCTGTTAAGATTACACCACTATGATTCTGACTGTTACATAAGAGCACAAAAAAGTCCATAATCTGTTCTAGATAGCATGCATTGAGTTACATTATAAGCGATTGTGTTCCTCAGTGCAGATGTTCATATTTAGTGTTCAGTATTATTTGGGGAAATGGATGTCATTAGTGAGCTGCATACTGCTGCTCTCTATTAGAGAGTGTGAAAGTGCATATGTGAGTGATATTTAGTAATTATGCTTTTTTTTGTATGCAGGAGTTAATGTGTGG